CCCCCCTACTTACTAATTTCTAATACTGAAATCAGGACAAGATCACTTTCAAGTCCACCAGGAATATTTTAGTGATGGAAACAACCCAAACATCACAAGTTCACAGTTAAGAGACCCACCCCACCTCCAGTTCCAAAGAAAACACAAATAAATTTAGAACACAGAGTAACTACAAAATGTCTTAAAAGACAATACTGGAAGTTTTATTAGCATAATTCTTCCAAGCAACAGCTAGGTTTTTAAAATGCCATCAGTACATCTTTTTCAACACCTATCAATATTCCATTCCCTTCTATATTTCTCTGTATTAAGCTAGACAACTTTGGTGTGCAAGACTCTATAGCACATTTTATTCTTTATGTCTCCTTTAACATACATGCACTATTACATCATTATTGTTACTAAGCACTAAGAAACTGTTCCCACCACTACAGTTAAACTGTGTTCTACTTGATTACCAACGACCACCTAATTGGTAAATCCAAGGGCAACTTCTCACTTATCACGCTCTAATTTTTCTGCAACATCTAATGCCAGTAACTACTTTCCTGCTTCTTAGAACTTTTTCTTTCTTTGGCACCCATGACTCAACACTCTCCCAGTTCTCTTCCTACCTTATAGACTATTCAATTCAGCTTCCTGTACCAAATCTACTTCCTCTTCCTGCTACAGGAACAGTCCCCAAAGTTCTGTCCTCAGCCCTCACTTCTCCCACAACAGTTTCTTCCTCCCTGATCTAATCTACTTCCATGGCTTCCCCACCTCTGTCTCCAGTCCCGGCCTCTCACAAGCTCTAGATGTGCACTTCCAGTTGAATACAGGACAGTTCCACAAATATGTTCCACCTAAAATACCAATATACCCAACCCTTCATCAGGCACCATATCCGCATCTTATTCATCATCTAATCATTCATTCATACATGCATACACACACACACACACATATACACACTGTCAGTGAGCACTTATGGGGCGAGACACTATATTAAATGTTTCACATCATCAACTATTTTAGTCCTCACAAGAGTCCAATAAATGAAATAGTTATCCCCACTTTACAGAAGAGGAAGATCACATAGTTAAAAAGTGGTAGAGTCGGGATTTAAGCCAGGCAGTCTGATTTCAAAGATTATGCTTTATTTTTTTTTTTTAAGATTTTATTTATTTATTTGACAGAGAAAGAGACAGCGAGAGAGGGAACACAAACGGGGGAGTGGGAGAGGGAGAAGCAGACTCCCCGCTAAGTGGGGAGCCCGACACGGGGCTCAATCCCAGGACCCTGGGATCAAGACCTGAGCCGAAGACAGATGCTTAACAACTGAGACACCCAGGCGCCCCATCAAAGATCATGCTTTAAACAACCACGCTATATTACCTCCTGATCAGCCGAAGGCCTGAAACTTGTCCATAGTCAGGCATTATGAACTTAGTCCTGTCACCTCCGGATCTCTCCCATCTGACCTTCTTTTCCATTCTCACTGAAATTACTACACTTCAGTCCTCAAATACCACTTATCTTCTCTCAACTTCCCATCTCCCATCTCTTCATATTTCATCTATTTACTTGTCACTCTCTTGCTTAAAAATCATCCATCAGTGGCTCATAGTTCCCCACTGCCTACAGGATAAAGTCAAAACTCTTTCTAGCCTCAGGGCGCCTGGGTGGCTCAGTCATTAGGCGTCTGCCTTCGGCTCGGTTCATGATCTCAGGGTCCTGGGATCGAGTCCCACATCGGGCTCCCTGCTCAGTGGGAAGCCTGCTTCTCCCTCTCCCACTCCCCCTGCTTGTGTTCCCTCTCACTGTCTCTCTAAAAAAAAAAACAACTCTTTCTAGCCTCATCTACTACCACTCCTCTTCAGAGCCATCATGTTCCAGGTAGAAAGGGCATGTGTCATTCTTTTTGACTGCCTAGCATCTAATCCCCTTCATATGTCTAGACAATTCCCTACCTCCCAATATAGAAGCTAAAAATGCAAATGGATCCTTTACAGGCCTCCTTTGCAGTTACTTCATGGTACCTGACATAGGCCATACCAATTAGATGTGTTATCCCCTGACTGAACTGGAAAGTGGGCACAGAGAACTCTCTCTGGCAGAAAGAACAGCTGCAGGAAGACTGGAGCCCCGGGCTACACTATGTGCACGGCCAGAGGTGTTCCACAGCACAAGTACAATCCCTCCCCTCTGGTGGGAGCAGCATTTTCCTTGTGGTTCCTCACTGGAGTGACAAGTATAGTTCCAGACGGATACCATTCAAACCTGGTTTCTCAGCCATCACGACAATTCTGTGAGCTACCAAATATCTTTTTGGCTTCAATCAGTCCGTCCAGCTGTTTCTAAGTAAGTGTCCTAAAGTAGCTATTCAGACAAGCGGAATACCTCACTCACCTCAAAACATGCCCTTTGCTTTCCTGACTCATATAACCTTGCCCACTGTGTCTTCCATCCAGAATTCTTCTCCATTAGTCAAAATTCTTCCATCTTTTAAGGCCCAGCACAAGTGCTAATTTCCCCATAAAGATAAAAGCAAACATTTAATGAGCACTTTCCAAGCGTCAGGCATTCTCCTTGTCCAGTCTTCACAAGAACAGGAGGAGGTAGATACTAGCATTAACCCTATTTTATAGTTGAAGAAACTGCAGCAAAAACAAACGATGTATATCGCCCAAAGTCACACGGCTAGTGAACAGTGATAGAGCTAGAATTCAAATCCAGGAAATCTGACTGCAGACCCTGCCCTTAACCAGGGAACAGCAAATGACAGACCACGAATCCACTCCAGTCCCCTCAGCCAAATCTGGCTCATGGCATGTTTGTATACACCCATGACCTAAGAACAGTTTCTGCAGTTTTAAGTGGTTGGGAGGGGAAAAAAAAAAAAATAATAATATTTCACGATGCATGAATATTATATAAAATTCACAAATTCACATTTCAAAGTCCATGTTATTGAAGCACAGCAACATACTATGACTGCTTTCTTGCCATAACGGCAGATTTAAGTAGCTACAACAGAGACAGTATGGTCCAAGAGGGCCACAAAGCCTCAAATATTTATTGTCCAGCCCTTTATGAAAAAGTTTAAGACCCTTCTTTTGCCCATTATATTACATTGCCTCTTACAAAGCCTTCCTTACTTATTTCCCCCAAGCTGGAATAAATCTTTCCCTTCTCTATATTTGCATGGCCTTTGCACCTCTCTTATAACAGGTAATCTATTTTGCTTCGAATTACACTTGACTTATTTTTTTTCCTTGAGCAGACTACAAATTCCTTGAAGGCAGGAAGCAATCTCTTTCCCTCTGCATTCCTCTTGGCGCCTTGCTTATTGTTGGCAGTCAATAAATGCTTGCTGACTTTAAATAAAATATTGCAGTATGAACTTTTAAAGAGATTTTCCTAACGTGAATATGAATCACAGAAATCACAGACTAGACTTTGTATTGGCAGGATAAGTAATAACAGGCCCCCTCAATCAGGTATATAAATTGGTATGGCTTTTCTGACAGGCAATTCTGCCTTGTTCATCAAATACCTTGAAAGTGTGTTTTTTAGGACTCAGAACTCCACTGCTGGAAATCTGTCCTAAGGAAATAAGCAGACTAGTGTGCAAAAATGCAATAACAGTAGTCACAAGAGTTGACACTATTTACTGAGTACATCTTACATGCCAGGTACTAAGCTAAGTCCTTTAAATGCAGAACTTCCTACCCTTTAACACTGTGATGAGCCCTATTTTGTAGGTGAGGAAATTAAAACTCAAGAGGTGAAATAATTTGTCCAAAGTTAAGGAATGACAGATTTCTTTTAAGAGGAGCACTATACCTGATTGTAATTCTGCAAATTAGTCTCTTCTATATTTACTACTATAATAAGCATGTATTACATATATAATTTTTTAAGGCAGTAAGATAGCACAGAAACCCTACACCTGTCTTTTTTTTTCCTTTGGAAGCTCAGGGAAAAGAAGTCAGAACAGAATAAGCAAATGCCCTTTTTCATTTACTTTGTAAAGTACAATAAAAAGTCACCATTCTGGACTTTGAAACAAGGTTAGTATTTCCTCACATGAAACAGTCTTGAGAAATAGCATTGTGGATTCTATGTTTCCCATATAGCATCACTCAGCCAATTTTGCCCTGCTTTCCTAAAACACCATACTGGTTTTGCCAATATGTAAGTAGACAGAAAATTATGTTGTGACTTGTACTGAATAAAGACTCTGGATATGAGGACAGATTCATCTATAATTATAGCAATTTAGAGATGAAAAGTCCCACCCTGTCTGCAAATCTCAAGGGGTATTACATGACCCCAAATCACTGAGTCTGGGACTATTTTGGATTCAGGCTGTTTTGCCTCTGATCCAAAAACACTAGTCCCAGATCTCCTTCTATTATCTACACTGAATTAACACAGTACTACCAAGCTAGATCTATTAAATGCTATGATGACCATGTAAGAACTTCCCAGAGCCACACCTTACCTCTTCTGGCACAATAATTAATGGATACTTGTCCTCAGATAAAAAGTTGAAAATAACCCATACTTTAAAGGCATCTTCTTCTGTAATTAGCAGGGGACTCTTGGTGAGGTTTTTTTTGACACAGAGGGTCCAACACATCCTATTAAATTCAATCTTGTCAAAGTTGTCTTGGACCTAAAAAAGAATTGAGTTAAAATTTCAGTGAAAAAATTCTAATGAATGAGGAAATATTCCAAAATAAGCAGGATAAGCCAAGTAAAACAGATACAGGTTTCCATTTTCACCAATCCAATTAACTAATAACCATTTTCTAAGTACTTGCTTGTGTACCACACTTTCAAAAGCCCTAAGATGTTATATTTAGCCCGACACTAAAGCAACATCTATCTGTCCAAATCACTCACTTGGCACATAAAATACTAGCTTGTCGAATAGTTATTTTTTCACATGTACACGTTCTCTTCTAAATATAACTACCAACCCTGGTACAGAGGAGTGGAGAATATCAATTACTCAGTATGAGCCACATGCAGATATCTCATCTTTACCTATACAGTCAAAGAAGACATTTTCTTTTGAAAAAAAAAAAACAAAAACAAAAAACAAACTTTAACTGAAATTCTAAAAAGACAGCCCTGCCATACGGTCATTCAATCATGCATTCAATATTCCCTCAGCATCTATCATGAGCCAAGTACTATGCTACAAATTAAGGATATAAAGATGAAGAACTTGGTCTCTGCTCATAGAATATTCAGTTTATTAGGGAAAACAGAAATGCAATAGACAAATTCTAATATAATACCATGTATAATTCAATAGTTTTTCACTCATTCAACAGATAAAATTTAGATAGTAATTATTATGTCAGGGATAATGCAAAGATACTGAATATAATACTAGCCCATGTCTCCAAGGAAAGCCAAGACAATTACAATATAGTGTGATAAGTACTATAAAAGAGGTAAGCAGAGGGTTCCGTGGGAACACTGAGGAACTAATCCAATCTTAAGAACTGGGGGATTTGCAGAAAAAGTGACATGACAACAGAGTAGAGTCCTAAAGGATCATTAAATATCAAAGAGTTTATAGTCACTATGGAAAACTGTATGGAGGATCCTCAAAAATTTGTTTTAAAAAATGCCATATGATCCAGCAATTCCACTTCTGGGAATATATCCAAAGGTAACAAAAATGTTAACTCAAAAAAAATATCTGTACCCCCATGTTCCTAGCAGCATTATTTACCATAGCTAAGATATGAAAACAACGTAAGTGTCCATTGATAGATGAATGGATAAAGAAGTTGTGCTATATCTCAATCCCAGGACCCGATCAGGACCTGAACCGAAATCAAGAGTCAGACACTTAACCGACTGAGCCATGCAGGCGCCCCTTACAACCTCCATGTTAAAAGCCATATTCTAGGACAATAAGGAAGATGTACAGGAGAAGGCAGAGTAGGTGGCAGGACCATATGAACAAAGCATTTCATTTTGGAAAGAGAGAAACAAAGTGTTATGTGTACGGTAAGGAAGAAGTCACCAGCTGACAGCAGGGAGAAATTTCTCTTGACCTCTCCCTAGAATTTGTGGTTGGTACACCAGTTCCCCAGGAATACGAAGATATCCTTTGTACTCTGCCTTCAGCATCCTGTCTCAGTCTGGCACCATTTCCCACACCCCAATCATACACAATTGATCCCACAAAGGGAAAGCAGTAGCTGCCACAGCAGCTTCTTTTTTCTTTTCTTTTTTTTTTTTCCTTTAACACCATTTATGAAGACTTTTAATTTATGCTTGGCATTTTATATGCAGTTTTGCACTTAAACCTCATATTAGCCTTGTAAGGCCAGATATTTCCCCTATTTTACAGATCAGGAAATAGAGAAAAACTGCGTACTTTTACCAAGTTTACACGGCTTGTAAATATCAGAAAACAGAAGTTCAGAAAAACTGAATACCAAGCTCACATGGCTGGTAAATATCAAAACTGGAGTTTAAATCAAAGCTCAAATGCTGTCTCTTTCCACTCTGCTAAAATGCTTACAGAACTCAGTAGATGGAGGACATCTATGTGATGGAAGACATCTCTACAGGACTAGTTTCATAGGCCACCACCATCAACTCTATCCACCTGCACCCCTAAAAAACACTTTGGGGAAATGACATGTACACAAAAGCATGTAGCCTTACCCTGAAGAACAAGAAGTGATTCTGTGTGGATTATGTGATGAATTATAGGGTTCCTGAGGGGGAGTGGCTAGACTTATGGCTAGAAAAGCAAACATAGACCAAATCACAAAGAGCTTCGTAATTTTAAGAAATAGACTATAAGAAACCCCCAACTGAAGGGTTTTAGAGCAGAGAAGGAGAACAGGTCATCGGTTGCCCAGATTAGTACTTTGCAGAAAGATGGTATTTGAGGCAGACCTTGAAGTATATGAAGAATGCAAGGAAAAGTATTACAAAAGACAGGAAAGGAAATGGCATGAGCAAAGGTATGGCAGAAACATCACACCAGCCAGGTTTAGGGAATAGTCACAGGATGGAGACAAAAACAAGGGAGAAGGAAAGAAAAGTTTTCAGTTATGAACATCTTCAACCTGAAGGTCTGGTAAGATATTTAGATGGAGGTGTCCAAAGACAAACAAAGTGCAACTGTAGCCTAAGAGGAGAGGCAGATCTGTGAATCAACTGAATGCTGATGACGAATGAAGCCTTGGCGGTCAATGAGATCACTGACAGGAAACATAAATCGAGAAAAGAGATGGGATCAAAAAACAGAACCTCAGGGGAGATAGACATTTACAAAACAAGAGGAGGAAGAGGAATTATGATGACCGAAGGAACAGTCAAAGTGGTAGGAGAACCACAAAGATATGAAAATTGAGTGAGGAAACTGTTAAGAAAGTTTGATCAATAGTGTCAAATGCTACAGAGATTAAAAAGGAGTTGTTTAAGAAAAGACCACTGGATGGGCGCCTGGGTGGCTCAGTTGGTTAAGCGACTGCCTTCAGCTCAGGTCATGATCCCAGGGTCCTGGGATCGAGTCCCGCATCGGGCTCCCT